TTAACCCCGTTTTACCCCCCCCCCCCCCGCTCCCCTAGCCCTCACATAACAGAGCCTTTGAGCAAACCGTTCATCTCGAGCAAAACATGTCCGTGGGCCAAACAAAGTTCTCAAAGCAGCCAGTTAATCCTCCAATCCCAGGTCACAGGCCCCTTCCTAAAAACTAGCATAACCCCCCCCCTCGCCGTCTAACCTATCACAACAGAAAGCTATTGTCATGTGACAGGGTGTCCCGCAAGGAGCGGAGCTGGCTCCTCTCGCATTCAATGCACAGCCTGTCCCGGGCTGGCCGGCGGAGGGTCAGTCAGAGAACACGGGAGCAGGATTTCCCTCCACGCTGCTCATTAAAGTGCATGGCCTGGCGTGAGGCCTGGTGTTCCCTGGCAAGCCAGGGCAGTGACCGGAGCCAGGCCTGACGCTCTGTGAGCTGAGGATGCTGCATTTTGTACCAGTTCGTTTCCAGAGGCTGATGGCTTCCCAGGTAGATACATCAGCGCCTCGCCCGAGAGTGAGAAACGGGGGCATCTCTCGAGCTGGCGTGAACTAAACAATTGTCGGTGTGTCCCTCCAACCCCAGGAGGCTGCCCCGCGGCTGCAAACACTGCCCAGTGCTTTCCTCGCCCCGCCGGTCTAATAGGTCTGGCCTAAGATCCGCCCCGCTAGCAGCCCCGTATGTACAAAACCAGGAGCAGAACTGGGCCCATTCATGTCCCACATCTTGCAAATGCTGCTGCGGCTCTTTGGTTTGGCAGGTGAGAAGCATCGAGGTGCAGAAAATCCGGTATGTTTGGAACCAGTCGGAACAGCAGTTCCAACGAGCGGGGTGAGTGAACCTCCTGGGTGCAAAGTTCTTTTAGGCCATGGAGCGCCTTTTGGAATGACGTCATCAGGAAACCTTTCCCTCTGTCATCCAGGTGCCTAGAAGACGGTCACACGTGTTCAGACATACATGCCAAATTTGGGTCGGGTTTGTCGCAGGAGGAACGGGACATCAGGTAAGACTACAACAAGTCCGGAGTAGCTAAAGCAGAGTTCGAAGACCAGGTGTTGACCTCTTTTATAAACACTGGTGCTGAAAGGGGCCATTGTTTGAATGTGGCTGATCATTTTGGTGGTGCGTGCAATTTTGCTTGTACTATTGTGCACACATATGTATGTGCATGCAGGGCTGGACACGAACAGGATTTTATTTGAAAAATGATCTACAGACAACTAAAGGATGGGCTCCGTTTCCCGGAGTAGCCTTTGAAAATGTGTTTCTGACTGTTTTATTACTGCCTTCCCTTTCCAGTCATACAGTAACCAGAGCCTTTCGATCGGAATTCGTTTTGTGAAAGAGAAACAGCAAACTGAGAGCCAAAGTAAAGTGTCCATAAAACAGCCCAGATTAGCTCCTCATGGAGCTCCCTCAGCAGAGCTCCGTGTGAATATTGTTAGACATTAATGAGTCCTAACTGCTGAGTTTATCCCTATACATGAATACATTTCTGGAAAATAGGTCCCTGGCTCTGTCATGGCTCAGTCCCCAACCTGACACTCTGAATGCAGAGATGAGGGGCCAGCTAGCAAAATAAACTCTGTAAAACCTCTCTCTAGCACTCTCAGAGAAAAGCATGTCTGGTCTCAGTCTCCCTGAGATCCAAGAAAAAAAAACAATTAAAAATTTGCTGCCACCACTCAAGTGTACTTAAAAAGATATAAAATAAACCCTTTTCCAGGGGAAAGGTCACTTGGGAATCCCCTCCGTAAGGCAAAGTTCCCTCTGCCTCCCCGAACAGCCGTTTTGCCTGGAGTTGGGAAAACAAACAGAGGGAATCCGCAGAGAACAATGTACGGATCTGCATGGAACTCTAAAGACACAACAATCAATCAATACCGGTTAATCAAAACAAAAGGAAAACTCTTTTATTATCAAAACAAAACTACTGTTGCAAGCATAGTAATTTGACTAGGTGGTAAATAGTCACAATTGACATAGACTCAGGGAAAGTCCCTGAGCTGTAATGCTTAGTTACAAAAGAGAAAAACAATTAGACAGCTCAGACATGATTTCCAAACCCCCAAACAAGGAAAACAATACAGCCGGTCCCCGAGTTGCGAACGGTCGACTTACGACCGTTCACAGTTACGACCAAAAATGTCATAAACGGCGGACCCCGAGTTACGAACGCAATCCGTGCTTATGAACAGCGCGGTCGCGTGTAACTCAATGGGGTCCGACTTACGAACAAACCGAGTTACGACCAACTTCTTGGTCCGTAACCGGTTTGTAAGTCGGAGACAGGCTGTAAACTCTGACAGACTATCTAAACTGTCCCCTACTTCCACATTTCAAGAAGTCCATTCTTGGAGAGAGAAAGAGTCTCCCATCTCCCTCAGTCCCTGGGAGAAACTGCTCTGATCTCAAACAAAGAAGAGAGAGAGAAAAACTCCTCTTTTCCAGTTCAAAATTCCTATCTGCTTTTTTATTGGCTGACTGTCCTAACCCCCTTCTCTAGGTGCATCTCCAATTGCTTAAGCTTTTCCTCACTTCAGGTAAGTCAGACTCGCCTTAGCTGCTCCTATTGATGACAGCCCCTGACCAGAGTCTTTGGGTGTTTCTACAGTCCAAATGCAAAACAAATAAATGAAGAGTTGCATTCGTTTGTTTGTGTATTGCAAATCATCTGGCTTCTAACCTGGGTCCAAAGTCGCCAGTAAATCAGAATACTCTGCATTATATTCTGAGCTGTGGAGAAGGGTCCTTGTAAGTGTGTCAGTCCCGGCACATTAAGGGGACAAGACGGGGGAGGGGAGGAATATCTTTGATGGGACCAGCTGCTATTGGTGGGAGAGACCTCACCCACCTTGTTGCACTAATGCAGTGAGAGTTGCACTTCAACCCTTTAGTGTTCGAATAGTACTAGAGAGGCAGCCGTGTTAGTCTGGTCTTGCTGAAACAAAAGACAGAACTACGGAGCACTTTAAAGACTAACAAGATGGTTTATTAGGTGATGAGCTTCCGTGGGCCAGACGAAAGCTCATCACCTAATAAACCGTCTTGTTAGTCTTTAAAGTGCTGCATAGTCCTGTCTTTTGTTTCACCTTTAGTGTTCGGTCCCCCAGTTACAAGGGATCAGTGCAGGAGAGAAACGTTCATTGCTGCTTTCAGGCCGCTGCGCATTTAGTTCTTCCTGATGGAGAGGCCTGTTCTGACGCTAGCGTCTCTGGCACAGACACAGTGCGCATGCAAAGATGTGGGCTAGTCACGTGTCACGCCTGCTCTTGCAAGCGGCCAGGTTTGCATCTCGCTGCCGGTGAGCGCCTGCAGTGTCTTTGTGCTCGACAGTGACTGGGCGTGCAAAGCGTGCACTCACGGTTTGTGTTTACCACCGTGCACAAAGAATGGGGCTGCCCTGGGGCTGCACTGCTTCCTGCACAGACCTGGTGCAGCTACACAACTAGCACGTGGAAAACACCACACCCGGCCTCCTTCTCTGTGGAGCCCAGGCTCGGCCAGGCTGGGGGTTGTGTTTTCAGACGGGACCCGTTCTGACTCCCCACGGAGCCGGGGGCCGGAGCTGCTTGAGGTGCGTTGTTGGGGCCCAGCAAGTGGAGCGAGAAAACCAGCTTTCCCGTTCATAATCCTTCCCCCCCACAGGAGGCTTGTCTGTGGGCCAAACACCATCGACGTGCCTGTGGTCCCTGTGTGGAAGCTGCTCGTCAGAGAGGTGAGCTGCATTTCCATTGCCACGCGGACATGGAGCGTAGACAGGTGGCACGTGGCTGGTTTGGCGCGTGGACCCCCCTCTCCCTGCCTCCTCCACTGAGCACGCTCCCGCTCCCGCTCCCGCTCCTCCAAATTCCCACTGGGAACCCGCCCAGGGAACGGTCCCACGCTGCCTCCTTGCCAGTCCTCCCTCGGCTGGCTGCAGTGCCCGGGTAATAAATCCAGCGGCACCGGCAGGCCAGGCTGGTTCCTCCTGCCAGCACCACGTGGCCTGTGTGACTCCCACCTCGTGCCACCGTCCAACCCTTCTCTGCTCCACTTCACAGGAGACCGTCGCAGCCAAACTCACATCCCCACTGATCAAGGTGCTTGGCTCCAGCGCCCTGGCTCTGACCCAGCCAGGCTGCCTAGTCTGGAGCCGGGGCTATGCAAGTTAGCCCGGGCCTGGGGCTCAGCCAGTCTCTCCCGGGGCGGAGCGTCTCTGAGCAGTGTAAATGCGGCTTCCTAACTCCCCGCTACTGCTCCGTCTCCACACAGGTCCTGAATCCCTTTTACGTCTTCCAGCTCTTCAGCGTCTGCCTGTGGTTCGCAGAGGATTATAAGGAGTACGCCCTGGCGATCATAGTCATGTCCCTCCTGTCCATCGCCGTCACCGTGTACGACCTCCGACAGGTGCGCTGCCCTGCCTGGTGGCAGGGGCCAGGGTCACTGCCGCTGCCAGCCAGCTCGGAGGACTTGGCAGGTTGCACCCAGCCTGGTACAACACGGCTGCAGCTCCGCTCCCTATTTCATAATAAAACTCGGCTGAAGCTGAGCCTGTGTTGGGGGGGCCCCGGCCCGGGGCCAGCCTGGTACAACACGGCTGCAGCTCCGCTCCCTATTTCATAATAAAACTCGGCTGAAGCTGAGCCTGTGTGGGGCCCCCAGTGCCTGGGGGCGCCGGAGTCCGAGCCCTGAGACTCAGTGACAAGGTCCTAGCAAAGGGCGTATTGAGCAGGTCTGCACTGCAGGTGTGTCCGCGGGCTCACTGCAAAACCTGGAAGGGGTTTGCTGGGGTGGGGGCCTTGGGTTGTTCCCCGTCCTGCTCAGGAAGTGGACGCTGCCGCGGGAAGGTGCAGCCGAGAGACGATCAGCTGTTCCCAGCGTGCGATAAATCACAGGCACTCAATGGTGATTTGCCTCGCCCTTAAACAAGTGCGAAAGCATGGAGGGAATTCCCCGGGCTGGAGTGGGGACGCTCCCCCAGGGAATCGAGAGCAGGACAGAGAGAATGGAAGAGTTAGACGTGGCCAAGGGCCTGCCCAGTCCCTTTGTCTGGGAAGACTCAGGCTCTGGGATGTGCATGCAGCGGCACGAGGGAACGCTGTGGAGTATGAGAGGCTGGCGCGTCGCCGGGATGCGGCTCTGTGAGCTGCTGCAGAGGGCGGATTAGAGCAGCCGGGTGGAGGCTCTGCAGGGGAGCCCGGCGTGGGGCTTGTTACGCCTAGCGAGCGGCACGAGGCCTTTCTCTGGACGGTCACTAACACCGGACTCTTCCTTCTCTCTCGGACTTGCAGCAATCCAGGAAACTGCACAAGCTGGTGGAGTCTCACAACAGTGTCCGGGTCACCGTGTGCAGGAAAGGGGAAGGTGCGTCCTGGTCCCCTTTTCTCTTTCTTTTCTCTTCAGTTCCCGTGGGACAGTCGCTCCTGTGGGCACCGGGAGCCAGTCAGGGCTCTGACAGTTTCCCCTTTCCTCCCCGGCCGGCCGATTGGCTTCTCATGCGTCAGTCTCACACCTACAGTATCAGTCGCGTGGTGGCCACGCCTGGCCCGGGTCGAACAACCCACTGCCCTGGGGAGCGGAGCTAGCGGGGGCCTGTCTCCCTCCGTGGGCCCATCGACTCAGGGCAGCAACAAGAAGCAGGGCCAAGCGGGTGTCTGGGGCCACTGCACAGAGACGTCCCAGACCCACGTGCTCCCCAGCTGTGGGACGGTTTGGTTCTGTAGCGATGGCGACTGTTGCGGGGGACTCCTGGGGGGGGTGTAGGTTGGGGCGCTCACCCATTCTGGAAATCACAGCGCCACATGGCGAGTGTTTAGCTCGAACCCCCCCGAGGCGGAGGAGAGGAAAGCCCCCCGAGAGGCGCAGGTCTCCTGGGCGGCCCAGACACTCACCCCCCAAGCACGAGGGGCTGCCACCTTCTCCAACGCCGCTCACTCGGATTCAGCCCAGCTTCCGCGCTCCCCCAGCACCTCCCAGAAAGTTCAGTGCACCCCCACAGCTGGGAACCGAGGCCGTGGTGGCGGGGGACAGTAGGGCTGGGGGACCCGCCGGGCTGCCTGAGTGAGGCCTGCATCGGTTGCCATGGGGATGCGAAATCGTAGGACAGATCCGCGTGGACCCCCATGGCTCCTTGCCAGCCCCTTTCCTCTCAAAGCCTGTGGCAGCCCCCGGGCGCCGGGGCAGCCGGCCGGGCCCCGCGCACAGAGCCACAGA